CAGGAAAGGGCTGCGAGTAACGGAGTCGTGTGTCAGGAACGGCAAGCGCCGGGCTGCGGGACGTGGCCTGCCTCACTGGACCTGAGGCCCCACGCAGGGCAGCTTGCTTTCCTAGCTTTGCCTCTCTCTGCAAGTGAGAGGCGTGGACGGCATCAAATAAAGCTCATCTTTGAAAGTGTTTAAGAATCCGACTGTGGGAGAAAGTAGGCGTCAGAGATATGAGTCCCCCCGCTGTGGCAAGGCAGTTCACAGGCCAGGCCAGGCCCCACGGCTCCCTCTGGCCCCTCCCTGGACGGTCCGTGTGTGTGAACTGCTGTTTCCAGAAGTGAATCGATGATGCCACGGGGTCCAGGAGGCTGGGCAGCGTGAGCACAGGGATGTCACTAGATGAAAGCTAGGGCGGACACCTGCTGGGGAGGGGGTGGGGCTTGTCGGGGCCAGTGCCTGGGCTTCTTTAGAATGGAAGGATACAGTGAGCCTGGCGGGCAGGCGGGAAGCAGGGGCCACCAGGAGACACCTGTGACCTACAGGCACCCAAGGCACAGTGGCAGGAGTGGCCCTGGGACCAGGGACTGGGGAGGAGGCCACCCTGGGGCTCTGGGAGAGCAAAGTCCAGCAAGCAGGGTCCCCTCAGCTGTGCCAGGAGGAGTACAAGGAAGGGATGGAATAGACTTCCCAGCGTCGAGAAGACCAGCCTCAAGTTCTTGTTCCACACCTCTGCACCCCAGTGTGCACATCTGGGTGCTTACGAGAAATCTAGACCCTGCCAGAGTCTCTGAGCTCCATGTTCAGCCCTGGGTGGCTTGGAGGCGATGGGTGGGGAGCTGGTTCTGGCGAGGCCCTCACTGTTCCAGAGAGTCTCTGAGTTCTCTGTTCAGCCTTGGGATGGCCTTGAGCTGCGGGTATAGGAGGTGGAGCTGTGGCCCTCACTGTCCCTCGCTGTTCTGTGATTCATGGATGGCGCTTACACTTTTTAAATGGTTGTGAAAAGAAAAAAAAAAAATAGAAGAATACTCTGTGACATGTAGAAATGGTGTGAAGTTCCAACTTGAGGCCATCAGTCAGCCTGGCTGGAACACGCCAAGCACACTCACCCACGGGTGGTCTCTGGCTACCTCTGTACCACGAGCACAGTGCGAGGAAATGGCCCGGGCAGCGTGGCCTGCAGAGCTGAGGCCTCCGCTGGACAAGGCCAGCCCCGTGCACATGCGGGGAAGCAGCTGAAGCTGAGCTGGGCAGGGAAGGAGGGAGGCGCAGAGGCAGGGCTGGGGTGAGGACACCGGGGGGTACCTGTGAGTGTTGTGGCCAGGGTAGTGGAAATGCGAAACCAGACAGGGTACTGTGCGTCTCTGTTTCCTACCATCAGAAACACTGCCTGTCCTCACTGTAGACACGTGAGCAGACTAGTTCTATAGACGGAGGGGTTGACCCTCTTGGGACCTAGCCTGGGAACCTGAGCACTGTGTGCTAGCTCCATCAAAGCTGGGCCCCGCTCAAAGCCAAAACCTTCCCGGTGACACTCAGCAGGTGGGCACAGGGAGCAGGCACCACCTGTGGATGCTACGGGGCACCAGACACATCCCTGCACACAGGGGCAGAGGTGTTTCTCAGCGGCGCAAACAAGCTGTGTTCTGTGCTGGGGCCTTCGCTGGGCGGGTTCCTGCTGCCCGAGGGCACAGTGGCCAGCTCTGGTTCCTCCAGACGGCCCACGCGGGCTCAGCTGGCCACGGCCGTGCAGCGTCCCAGGCAACTTGCCCGGCGTGACTGTGTCCTGGGGCTCTGGGCCCAACGGCCAGCATGTTTACGCCCCTTCCTCAACCACGCCGCCTGCAGGACACGCCTGACACGGCACGCGAGGCGCAGTTACGCTCCAGGGAGCGCCTGCCGGTCCGGGCTGCATGAGCGGGAGCAGAGGAGGGTGCCACGGGGGAGTTACGGATTTAGCGCATATGTCGGGGGAGGGGACTCCAAGAGAAGGAGCTATTTTTGTTACCAACTTCAGAACTGAGAAGTATGAGAGTAACCCTACAGAAACCAGAAGTCCTACATACATGAGTGATAAAGCTAGTCAGCAAGGCGCAAGTTAGAACTGAGAAACTAAAGACTACGAAATACAGGACTAATCAAGACAAAGGAGAAAGCAAATAATGGTAGGAAAAGGAGACGTGGAGAAACCGATGGTAGAGCTCGAACACATCATGAAGATACCCAGAACAATTTCATGGGGATAAATGAGAGCACTTAGCTGGAACAGACAACCTCCTAGAAAGACACAACTCCTCACAGCCACCTTACACGAGGCAATGTAAATGACTGTTTTTTGTTCCGAGAGAGATTTTTGCTGTAGCACGCATGTGCTTGCCAGAGACAGAGAGGCAGAAAGTGAGAAGTCACCCCCTAGGGGGGATGGCCACACCGCAATTCCTTTTCCTCCATTCTCCTCTCAGGATTTTGGATACACACGCACACGCACCCAGCAGGAGGTTTAAGCCGCTGGGTCCAGGACTTGAACTGCAACATAAACATTATGCCATTTGCTGGTCCCAATGTAAACACCCTTATTAATTATTAAAAACTGGGGCCAGGAGGTGGCATGGTGCTTGAGAAGCTGGACGCCCACATGGCTGGCCACATAATTTGAGTTCTGGACTCACTGGCTTGAAAATCACTCTGGGCATGCCTGCCCAAAGTCCCAGGAAGAGAATGGAGGAGAAGGGACTGCGGCACGGCCATTCTCCTGGGGGATGATTTCTTACTTTCCCTCTGTCTCTCACTGTCTCTCTCCAGAGAGCACACGTGTCCTATGGCAAAAACCTTAAAAAAAATGAAGAAAGAATTAAAACTCACCCATACGAACGCCCACTAAGCCGAGATAGTTTAAGAGGTGAATTCTACCCAGATAGTCAAAGAACACAAAACCTTTGTCAAGAGGGCGGAGACGAGGGCACACTCCTTGCCCGCTTCCTCGAGGCTGCAGCAAGCTCAGTGTCGGACTAGGAGAGGCCGTGGTGAGAGGAGGCGTTCTGGGTAAACGGCAGCGAGCCCTCGGGGTGCCAGTAAAGGAAGCAACCATCTGGTTTACCTAGAACTGCAGGGATGCTTCAACAGCAGTATTTTTTTTTTTTTTTTTTAAGATTTTTTTAATGCCAGGGTGTGTGTGAGAAAGAGAGAGGAAGGGAGAGAGAGAAGGAAGGAGAGAGGGAAAAGGGGAGAGAGAGAGAAAGAGGGAGACAGGGAAACGAGGGTAGAGAGAAAGAGGAAAAGAGAGAGCGAGACAGGGACAGTGAGGGAGAGAGAAAAGGAGGGAGAGAGGGGACTCCCAATAGGGGACCTGGTCATGCTGCAACCCTTCCTCCGACCCCCGTCAGGGTCCTGGGCACACACAGGGATGTCTGGTGTGTCCCAGCTGCTGGGGCTGGGACTTAAACCTGGCCGCCACGTGGGACCCAGCCCAGTCTGCACAGTGCTTAGCTGCAGTGCGCTACTGGCCGGCCCAGCAACGAATTCTATTTTTTTTTTAAGAGAGAGACGGTGCGATGGCGAGGGCATCACACAGGCTCACAGAGGGAGGCACGCCGGGCTGGGACGCGGGAGCCCAGCCCAAGGGCCACCGAGGGACACAGCCTGCCATGGGTGCGCCTGTTTCTATCATGTGGGCGGAAACCCTGCCAGACCCAGGTGGGGCAGACCTGGAGCCCTCACCGGATGGAAGCCGGAGTGCATCTGAGCATGTCGGTGGGATCCAGTGCTGGGCGACGAAGGCACACGCCCACCGTGCAGCTCATACAAGAGATGGCGCGCTTACGCCCACGTGTGCTCGCTGAGCCCTACTGCGCACCAGTGAGCACAGTAGACGAGGCACTGTGCACTCATGGGCCTCAGGCTCCTGGGGAGACCCAGAGCCAGCAGAGACAGGCCGAAGATGGCTTCCATCTGTGGTGGCCAGGAAGGCCCCCCAGGGTCACACCGGGTCAGAACTCTGAGTTTACAGGGAACAGTGTGGCCCACCCAGGAGACGAGCCTTCTGAGCTGATGCTGAGGCCTGGAGGCACAGGGCTTGGACCTGACAGCGCCTGGGGGTAGGGAGGAGGGAGTGCTGGATGTGGGTTCCGCAGGGCAGGGCCAAACCATGTCTACCTGTGAGCCAAAGGAGAGGAAAGGGGGGCAGTGGCGTGAACGGCCTCCACTAGGAGCCTGGATGACTGCGCTGTGGCAGACTGAGAGTGAATGGCTATAAACTACCGCCAAGGGTCAGCGGCCACACCAACGAGAGTCGAGTAGGCACTCTGGGAAGTGCGTGCTGCGGGGTGCACGGCACAGAATCGACAGCTCAGGGGTGCAGACCCAGTGGACGGAGGGACGGGGCAGCCTCAGGGGCTCCCTCCACTCCCAGGTCCTCCAGCAGGGGACGCGGCGGACACTGACAGCCCCTACATCAGTCTGCTGGCCCCCGGGGCCTATCATGCTCGCTAGTAAAGGTCCAGGGGAAGCCTGTGAACCACTGTGGTGGGAGAACCAGACAGGGGCTCTCTCAGGTCCATCGGTGCCTGGAACCAGCCATCGAAGGACTAAAGGCTTATACACGTGGAGACAGGGGACACTCAGGACATGCCATTCATGGTAGGATGAAAGAAAGAGCTGGCCTCCCCACATTTCACCCCAGACGGTGAAGCGGTGTGACCGTGCGCAGGGACGCTCTGCCAGTGAACCAGGACAGGTCCTCGGAAGATGCAGACCCTGGCCTTCTCTGGCAGGCTCCCGTTCATGCTCCCGAGCCGTCCTGGCCACTGCAGCGCGTCCCTGGCCTCGATCTCGATTCATGCGCTAGGAACTCCCTCGCTCTGCCCAGCTGTGACAGCCCGTGTGGAGAGCCAGTGTCCTCTATTCCTGGGAATCAGGCACTCAGAGAACTCTTCCTACCAGAGGGAGGCAGATGGGAGTCTGGCAGGCTTCCCACGCATGCAGCCCACTCCACAGACGGCTCCGAGCAGCCCGCGGGATGCCACCACATCTAGATGAGAGAACAGCCACGTCCCTGCTTCCCAGAGGAAAGCGCGCTCTCCACTCCCTCCTGAGAGGCGGGAAGGCTGGGCTGTCCCGGGCGGGGAAACCCTCGGCCACTGAGCGGCTGTCAAGAGCAGAGGGCAGCGAGGGCGCGACTCACCTATGAGGGAGTTGAGGGAGGAGTAGGAGCTGACGCGGCGCATCTTGTCGATGGTCTCGAAGGAGAGGATGTACTCCTCGTTCTCGGGGCTGCCCAGGGTGCTGCTGGCGCTGCTGCTGGTGCTCAGGTTTCCGGGGGAGAACGCCACCGAGCTGCCGGCTGGCAGGAGACATGGGGGCAGGGGGTGAGTCAGCGGGTGCTCAAGGACCCTCCGCTCACACTCGCGTTCATGCTCAGCGGTCTGAAATATGCACTCACACTGACACACACACGTGTGCACACAGGCTGGAATATGCCCCTTGCTGGACTCCTTTGGGGCTGAACTGCCCATGTGGAGAGGATGGGACAGAGTGGTCCTCCCAGGAGTGGCCTGTCCAGCGGGGCTTGCGGGCCGTCCCTCGCCTGGGGCACCCACTGGCTACTCTGGGTGCCGAGCTGCATTTCTGTGCCCTTGTCTGCAAGGACGATGACCCCGGCCCAGAATGGAGGTCAGCCCTATGTCGGCAGGCGGCTGCAGGGTGTGCTGATGGCGACAAGTTCCAGAAACTGCGCCAACGCCTCCCCGCCCAGTGCCCAGCCCAGCGCCGCCTTACCTTCCTCCGTCAGGCTCAGATTCTGCAGAGACTTGTTGAGGCTCCTCGCTGTGGTGACGGCGCGGATGTTGCTGTAGGAGCTCACGGAACGGAGCCTGGGGGTGCAGGGGCTGTCCCGCACTGGGGTTAGACTCCCGCCCTCTAGGGAAGGAGAGGGGAGTCAGGCGGGCAGGAGGGCAGGAGGCCTCTGTGGAGAAGAGGTCAGAGCTCTCTGTGGAGAAGGCGGGCCTTCCAGCTCAGGAAGGACGGGGCATAAGGCTGCGCGGCCTGGTGGTGGGGGCAGCTGGGTCCCACACGGCCAACTGCATGGTGAGTCTTGGACCTGGTGGGCTGAAAAACACACTAGGTGTGTGTGTGTGTGCCCAAAACTGTAAAGGGAGGGAGACATGGAGGAGAGGGACTGCGGTGTGGCCCCCACGGGGAGCTTTCTCACATTCTCGCGCTGACTCTCCCTGATCGCGTGCCCTCTGACAAAAGTGAAAAAGCAAAGCCTCTCCTCCGCCATTTCTCCTCAGTCCCTACTAAGCATATATGTACGTGTGTACACGCGCACGGACCGGACATGCGTGTTGGGCTTGGCTAGACAAAGTGGTGCTGCACGCGGTCGTGCGTGTGAAGTCACAGACAACAGCAGGTGTGCCCGAGTGCACACGAGGCGCTGGTGACGGCCCCAGGCCACTGCCCAGGCGCAGCGGGCGGCAGTGCCCGTCACTCGGCCAGCGCGGCCCCTCCCACCCAGTTCCGTACCCCACTCCCCTTCCCTGCAGAGATGACGACATGCGAGGGTAAGGACGGCCGTCTCCTCCAGTGAAGAGGACGGGCGTGCGGAAGAGCTTCCTGGCATGACTCACCGAGCACGGGAGCGACGATGTGATTAAGCTACTTATCTCAGGAAGACGGCTAACGCCCCTCCTGCGAGCCACTGTGCTAACGTTTACCATCTCTCCAGCCTCCGCGAGCCTCGTTTCCAGGAAGAGCAAACGGGAGGCAGAGGAGTAAAGTCACTCTGGCCTTTCCCTGCCCTTTACATCCCTCTTCTTCTAAAGAGATTTTTGCTATAGAGTACATGTGCTCTTTGGAGAGACAGAGACAGAGAGACAGAAAGCGAGAAATCACCCCCCGGGGAGGATGGCCACGCCGCAATCCCTTCTCTCGGGATCTTGGACACACAGGCACACATGCCTAGCGTGAGTCTTAAGCCACTGGGTGGGGACTCAAACCATGGTCAACTACATGGGAGTCCAGCGACGTAACCATTATGCCATCTGCTGGTCCCGCCCTGCCCTTCACATTCTGGAAATGCCCCTGCGGGACGAGCAGGGACCATCAAGGCAGGTATCTGAGCCCCAAGCTTAGCCTCAGCCAAGTCGAGTGGCCGAGGGGAACAAGGCGGGCTTACAGCTCCAGAAGAATGGGGCAAGAGGCCGGTGCGGCCTGGTGGTGGGGGCAGCAGGATCTGGTGATGGGCTCCCAGAGCCGGCGGGGCTAGGCAGGAGAGGTGTACCTGTGGTGGCCGGAGAGGGCAGGGGATAGTTCTTTTCCTCCTCCATGAACTGCAGGGCCACAGTGCAGAAATTGCTTTCATACTGGACGACGAGGTGACTCAGAGCCACCACCAGCTCCTGTGGAGGGAGAAGGGACGAGGTTGGAAGTGGGCCTGCACCAGCACAGACACTGACAGCTGGCGCTGGCACGTGAGTTGCCTGTGGAAACGAGAAAGGCAAGACGAAACCCTGCGACCGGCACCAGGGGTGGAGGCTGGCTGGCCGACCGGTGTGAGCCGAGGAGCCACCGAAAAAAAAAAGGTGGCTCGGATGCCCTGCAGGAGTGCCATCTGCCAGGGCCGGTCGCTGACCACCAGGCAGAATGAGGCAGGGACCGTGTGCGGGCTCGGGTGCCAGCTGCACACCCACAGCGACCCAGGCTGGAGACCGCCTTCTCCCGTTTACGGTGAGAGCCACTACCCAAGCTAGAATGCAGCCTTGGTGAGTCACATGTGTGAAGCAGAACGCATCACACACTCGGACGCGCGTGCTTTCCGTGTATACAACGTTTAGGGACCTATCTGTTTCTAGCCCCTAAAGGGAGTGAGGAAAGTTCTAGAATTAAAACATGAAGCTCAGGCAGGCTCGTGGGCTCCAGACGGTGCTCAGGTGTCTGTGCTGCCCTCCCAACAGCCCACCCCCTGCCCCCAGACACCACCTCGGCAACGCCCTCACCGCCTGCCGCGGTCTGCCATCCAGCAGGGCAGAGACTCCTTGAAGGCTCCACGCTCCCTACCCCAGGGCCTCTGCATGTGTTCCTGCCAGGCCCCACTCCAGCACCCCCACCCCGAACACTTGCTGCTCTCGCTCCACAGCTGAGGCGTAGCTGCCTCCACGAGGCCTTTGCCGACCCTCCTGCAGGCAGCGCTGCCCACGGGTGCGTCCTGTCAGCAGATCCCTGACCGCCCCCTCACAGGTAGGTGCTCCCACAGGCAGGGCTTTGGTCCTCGACCTCCCAGGGCCCAGCATGCAGCAGAGCTCGGGTGCTAGGCACAGCAAGGGAGACGGCCGTGTCACTCGCATGCTTGCCCTCTGGGGTGCAGGGTGCAAAGCGCCGTGGGCGTGCAGACACCAGACTGGGCACGTCCAGGAGGCACACACTGCCTGTGCTCTCTGGGGACCGGGACCGCGCTTCCCCCATGGACACAGGGGCTCGTACAAGAGGGGGAGCCAGGGTGCCCCGAGCTCCTGAGGCCCTTAGGGACCCTCTCCAGATACTGGGAACCCACAGGAACCTTATGACCAATACCCTTTTTATTTTTAAACTAAAGAAGGAAGCAGCTTCTCTTACTTTAAAGAGAGTTCTGACAGGGCTGGTCCTGTAGCCTGGTGGTTAAGGGAGCTGGACCCGATGTGGTCGACCATGGTTCAAATCTCAGCCTGGTGGCTTACAACACTGGGCGTGCGTGTGTGTGGCCCAAATCCCGACAGGATGGAGAAGGCAAAGGACTGCAGCGACCACGCCCCATGGCACGGTGACCCTCCGGCAATCAGGGAAAAAAGCACTTGGACAGACACTTCAAGAGACCACGGATTTGCTGCTTCTGTCAGTGCTGTCGGCTCCAGGCAGTCAGTGTGGGCGAAGGCCGGCCTGTCGAGAGCCAGCTCCCAATAGGTGCTGCCGCCGAGAACGTCCCGGCAGCACAGCGAGGACGGGTGGAGGGGTCGCACCATCACACGGCACATTTTTAGGGTTTCATCAGACAGTTCTGTGCACCAGGGACTTGGGTCAGCCTTAGAAGGAGCATAGGGTGGCTGAGCGTCGATTTCCCGAGCTGCCCCGTGCAGATGTGCCCTTCCCAGGGGGGTCAACGCTGTCTCCCTGCCAAACACTCTACCCACCCCAGACTTCAACCGTCCCGCGAAGGCAGTCCCCAGAGGGAGCCCCAAGTGTATCCAGACAGGCCGGGATGACAGGACAGGGCTCAGCGGCCACCTGCAGCCAGCTCTAACAAGTGCCCTCTGCTCCTGGGGCTGCCACAGATGCAGTCGGGGCCATGGAGTGCCTGCCGGTCCCCCTTTCTGACTGGGTGGGTGGGGCCCCAGGCTGTGCAGAACCAGTCCTACAGGGGTGAAGGCATGGGCTGTAATCGGGGTACCCCACTCCATCTGCCTGGAGAAACTGCCCAGCTCAGTGGCTGACACACGGGGCAGGGGAGGGGACACCGCACACCCTCTTCCACCATTTGTGGTGGCCACCGCTCTTTGGAATTGCGGTGAGGGTGTATGTGTGGCTCCCGGGCCGAAGCGGCCTGTTACACAGGCTGCTGGGACTCAGCCTGCTAAATGCCTTTAAACGAAGAAAACACACGAGGATCCGGTGAAGACACGCACTTGGAGCAACGCCAGCACACAAGGACCGGCTTGAGAAGATGCGCATGGCGGAGGGGGCCCTCCCTGCTGCTCCGGGCCCTCGCGGCCTGTGGGCCCAGCGGGCGCCTGCTGCCTGGCTCACACGTACCTTCCGCACCATGGGGCTCCCGTCGCTGACCAGCTGGGCCAGCATCATGGCCACGTTGTGGTCGATGGTGGTGGAGTGGTCCGTCCTCTCGGCAGAGTTGCCCACAAACGTGCCCAGGGCGAAGACTGCCGCGCAGCGGACCTACAAGGCAGGAGCCTGGGTTTGTGGCCACGCCGCGGCTGTCCTACCAGGTCCCCGCTGGCGTTCCGGCCACGGCTGCTGGCAAGTTCCCCGACCTGCCTGGCTCAGCAAAGCTCGGTTCGATTCCATCTCGTGAGTGTTTACTGGACAGTTCCGAGTCCAGAGCCAGGCTCAGAGGGGGCAGAAGTGGGGGTGCCTGGGGGACAAAGGAGGAGCTGTCGTGGCACCAGATCGAGGGGCCGATGGGCAGACTGAAGCGGCAGGAATTGCCTCTCTTCTGGAATTAGGATGAAGCCGGGGACGCTGCCGACGAATAACAGCACCCAGGGCGGGCTGAAGCAGCTTGGGGGCAAGCAGGGATGGAGGTGGGAGGCAGGGCACTCTTGGGGACTCAGATGCAGAGGGAAGAGGTGGAGTGGGCATGTTGGGGGCTCTGGGCTCGGCCATTCCGGGAAGACTCCCACCTCACTGGGCCTGTCCCCTCATCTCCAGAATGACTGCTGCCATGTCCCCTGTGTGGGCTGGTGGGAGGGGCAGGTCAAACCCCGAGGTCGTGGCCACACGTGTCCCCATGGAGCAGCAGCAGGCACACGTGGTGTGTACCAAGGCCCGGCCTCCAGCCCCCAGCTCCAGCCAAGTGCACGCCCAGAGACGGACGTCACCGCACTCCCACTTGTGCTGCCCCGTCCTCCAGGGTCATGGCCTGGGGTGCATGGTGCAGAGGCTGTCTTGGGGTGGGGTACAGCTAGCTTGATTTTAGATGTTGAGGGCACAATGGGGCATTGGAGCTGGGGAGATGTGGGCTGGACCAGAGCCATCAGCTCGGGGGCTGGCTGCAGGTGAGACTGCAGGGGGACAGAGGAAGCCACAAGGAAGCCACGGCGTGAAGTTTCCCAAGCACAGGAGGCCCATGGGGCAGGGGACTCAGGAGTTTTATCCTTGGGAGACAGGGTGATACAGTGCACCTCCGAGTACGAGACAGACTGGGCCACGGCTGCCGCCGTGCAATCTGCTCTAGGCTCCTGGGCTGACGGCTGCTGTCAGGGCCACGGCAGGACCCTGATCTAGGGCCTCAGCACATGAGCTCACAGAAGCAGAGGCCAAGGCCAGTGTGGGCGTAGCCAGGAACCTGTGGTCTGCTCTGACGTGCACCCGGGGCAGGCGATGGCGGGCCAGGGCCACCACTCTGCCCCTCTGTAGCCCTGGCTGCACACGGGCAGCTCTGGGGTTGGTAAAGGAACAAGGTTGGGGAGATGGAGGGGACTGGGCCGCTGCCCTCAGTGAGGACCAGAGTCACGAGGGAAATGACTCTGGGGGCTGGCAGGTGGCATGGAGCTAGGGGACACCGGACTCCGGACCTGGCAGCTTGCTTTCCCTCTTGCTCTCGCCCTGCCCCTCTCTGGTCAAATGAAAGTAAATAAATGAATAGGTAAGAAACGGAACAGGAGAGAAGAGAAGCGAGAACGGATTTGGGCAGAGGTCAGCTGGGTGGGGGGCTGGCGGTCCATCTGGTGGCCGCTGCCCTCCACAGTGACACCTACACTGTGGTACCCTCCCATGCCTCCGACTCCGATGGGGTCTCCCAGGTGTGCAGCTTTCCTTTCAGAGGACACCTCTCACCATGGCTGTGACAGGACCTGGGCCTGATCGAGTGGCCCCAGCCAGCCACCCCTCGTATTGCAACAGCACGAGTTTCCTCTTTGGACAGACGAGTACTCTCAAAGTACTGCGGAGTTTTAAGCGTTTCTCTGTAAGAAATGCACCACTCTCCGACCGAGGCACCAGGAAGCCAGGCCGGGCTTCTGAGGCTCTCCACGGTGCATGGCACATGGCGCATGGCCACACCAGGCTCAGGGGTCTGCAGACGCTCAGCCCTGCTGCTCTGACTCAGCCCGGGTCACACTCCTGCTTGTAAGCTGTGGTGGGGATGGGCTCATGGGGCCGGAGAAGCTCATAGGACCCACCCCACCAGCCTGTGACTGGGCAGGGCTGGTGGTAGATGCCCGTGGGCCGGAGAGGAGACGGGGCACCCATACCTTCCCAGCCACACCAGGCCCAGGTGGCTCGCTGTGAGGTCGAGATAGAAGGTCCCTGTCCCAAGGGCTGGGCACAGGTGCAGAACAGTGCCGTGGACGTAGGCATGGGCCCTGTCCCTTAGACAGCATGACATGCCCAGCGCACTGAGCGTGCTGACAGTTCACACGTGACGCCATGGCCTGGCCGCCTTCCCCAGGCCTTTCTTACCACAGCCCTCCACTGGGCACGGTCCTGGGGTTTCTGAATGTGTGGGCACGAGAAGCCCTCTGGACACTGTTCCCATGCCAGTGCTAAAAACAGCACCCTGCAGGGCTCGGGCCACTTTGGGGGACCACTCACCTCCGGAACAGGGTCGGAGAGGAGGCTGTAGAGCTTCTCGTGGGCACTGTCCCGCACCCCGCACCACCTGGCGGAGTCGAAGTTCTGCCAGATGCGGCCCAGGCAGATGGCCACCCACTGACGCAGCAAGGGGTGGGGGTCACTGAGCTGTTCCAGGCAGATGGCGATCAGGTTGCCTTGTAGGCAGGCTTCCTGGAGGAGGAAGAGATGGCACGTGCATGGTCCCCTGCCCAGACCGCAGGACTGGTGGGGTGTGCCTGTGTCCTGGAAGCTTGGCTAATCACCTACCCCAAGACCTGCTCCACCTTCCTCACTGTAAGTCCCGCCACTCCACTTCCCCTGTGATGGCTAAAGAGGGGTCCAGCCTCCAGGGGGTGTGCCCCTCCCGCGGCACCCCGAGCTGTGCCTGGGAACCCGTCCTCTGAGGCTGCTTCACTGTGCACTTGGAACGGCAGCTCCTCCCCCATCACGGCACCTTGGGGCTGGGCCTCTGCTCTGCGGCCCGAGTGCTCACCTGCCGTGTGTTGTAGCTGTTGACAATCACAGCCAGAATGAAAGCTGTCATGGTCCTGTGCTCAGCCTGGAAACAAAGAGCACTGGGTTTGCACCGCCCGGTGGAGGCCGAGGCGCAGGGCGCGGCAGCATCCCCGGCGGTACCTTTACAATTAGCGCGACATGAGATTACAACACGAGCAGCTCCACTGCCAGCTCTTGATCTGAGTCTACAAAGAACAGCTCTTTAAGCAGGGCCTGCTGCTCTGTGCTTGTCCGTCTAGCGCTGGGCAGAGACCTGGCCACACGGTCTTCTTGTCGGCACTTCGAGGGCACCGGCCCACGGCCTCCCAGGCTGAACGCGCTGGTGCTATGAGGAGTGAGCGCACCGTTCCCATGGCCTTCTTTTCTTCTTCCTGGTCTTCCACTGGCTTGGCCAATTT